TCAAGCCTAAGTTTATTAGGAATATAAAAACATCTAAACCATTAAATATAATCAATATAATATTTAAAATAAAAATAAATTTAATATATTTTTGTCTCCGTTTTCTCTACTTCATGCATGCACTTTCATGACTTTATTCCTTGCTAAAATAACGAATATAAGGGGTGTCATTGTGATCGAGTTAAATCTTATATCTAGGAAATGGTTTTTCTAAAAATTCCTCTGCTAAGAGAACTTGACTTTGCTAAATGAAAATTCTGGAACTAGAGTATATGAAAAGGAGAAAGTTGAGACAAAAAATATATTAAATTTAATTTAAAATTTTTATTTTTTTAGTTTAAATCTTATATTTATTATATTTTTAGATATATATATATATATAGGGTGAGCATTCAATCGAGTCGAGTAAAAAAATTTCGAGTTCACTTGAAACTTTTTTGAGTCGAGTTTATAAAATTCAAGACGAGTTAATTTTTTAAGTTTCTATTTAAATTTAATTGTAAATATTTATAATATTATCATATCATTTGATTCCAATTTAAGTGACTTTTATATAACCATATATACAATACAAATATATTTATTCAATTTTTTCCATATGTGATATACATATATCATACAAAATCGAAGGACTCGACTCAAATTCGAAACTAAATCCACTAATTACTAAAAAAATTGATTTATTCGAATTTTATTTTACAATTTGATTTGAATTTGAATTTTTTTAATCGAGTCTATGAAATTGTAACTCGAAACCAATTCGAGTTGAAAAAAAATCAATTTTTATATCAATTATAGTTCAATAATTATATTTTCTTTAATAGTTTGGATGATTTTATATTCCCTTATAATCTAGGTTTGATTCTATTAATTATCATTGCTATTTCTATTATCCTGTAATTTCTTATAATATAAATTAAATAGCATGCGTTGCAAATCTATAACATGATATGGAAGCTGGAGTAGTGGTAGGCCACGCGAAGCCAGGGTTCGATTCCTACCATTAGATTACCTCTCTTCCATTTTTTTCCTTTAATTTTGCACGTATCGTCATATGATTGAATAATTAATATAGTTAATCAATCTAAAATTATGATTGAATTTATGTAATATATAAATAATAAGAACTAAATATGTAATTATACAAATTATTTAATTACCACGTCAGTACAACAATTAACTGTTAATGACAAGCGGTTTGATTGAGTATATTTAAATAATAGGGTGACCTTAATTGACGAAACTTTAAAAATGATTGACAAAATAAAAATGGACAATTACATATATAGTTCACCTAAAATATATTACTACAAGTAAACATATAAGAAATTAGGTATTTTTATTAGCAATGTTGATCAAAATGAAAATATACTATAATTAAGTGATTAATATAGACTATAATTAAGTGATTACTAATATAATTTACCCTAAAATATATTACTACAATTCAACATTTAATAGATTAGGTATTTGTATTGAAGGTAAAATAATTTGCATATAATCAATCGGATACAAATCTAGCACGTGCTTCAATAAAATATAGAAGTTGTCAAGTAAACCGCATACTAAAAGTATTGAAATGATTATTCAGCTCAGTTGGTAGAATACAAGATTTTTAATTTTGAGGTTGTGAGATCGAGTCTCATAAAGGGTATTTCATAATTCGAAGGTCTCCTACGGAAACTGCTATCAACTTAGTTTTAAGTACAACCTACTATCTTACCTCCCTTTTATTCCATTACATATAGTAAAAAGGGATAACCATTTTTTTATTAAAAGCTAGACAAGCAAGACATAATAGTCTCTGCATATTTATTGACGTCTCTATGTTTCGTGTCGTATCAACATTCATATTGATCCACCTCTCCTTTGATCTAGACTACACAATCTTTCTCATAAATGTGCTCACTATTGACTACGTCATTTATATTGCTATTTATATTGTTATTTGATGTCCAGCCATACCCATAAATTTTGTACACAAAACAATGATTTAATTTTGTAATTAACTCCACAAAATTATACATAAAAATCTGCCGGTGGATATACCTTCGTCTCCCCATCAAGAGCAAAGGAAGCAAAACTCACCATATTGCACCCTTAAAAGATAGATAAAGCTATACCGCTAACCATTTAACTATAGTCTATTTTTATTTTAACCAATACTTTAATTTTTTGTCAATTATGTTATCAAACTATTTAAATACATTTAATCAAGTCATTTGCTATTAACAATTAACGACTGTATTGATGCGACAGTTAAAATAATTTGTATAATTACACATTTAGTTTTTATTTTTTATATATTCTATTAATTTAATCATAATTTTAAATTAATTCAATATATTAATTATCCATTCATACGATGACATGTGTCAAGATATTTAATTGGAATCTTTAATTTATATTTAATTGAAATCTTTAATTTATATTTAATTGAAATGTTTTCCTCTCCAATCACATGACGACACGATGTGTCGCCATGTGAGGAAAGGAAAATAAACAAAAAAGAAGCAACTCCAAGGGTAATTGATCCTAAGTCAATGGGAGAGCTAACACTCAATCCTACCGCTATGCTTGCACCCACATTTGTTCATAATCTTACAACATATTTTATTTATCTTATCTTATAAGTAATGCCAGAAAAGTGAAAATAAAAGTAATACAAAAGGAGTCAAGCCCAAGTCTATTAGGAATATAAAAACATCTAAACCATTAAATAAAAGTAATTTTTAAATTATAATTGACTACATTATATATATATATATAAATATAATCAATATAATATTTAAAATAAAAGTGAGTTTAATATTTTTAGACTAAATTTAATATATTTTTGTCTCCATTTTCTCTACTTCATGCATGCACTTTCATGACTTTATTCCTTGCTAAAATAACGAATATAAGGGGTGTCATTGTGATCGAGTTAAATCTTATATCTAGGAAATGGTTTTTTCTAAAAATTCCTCTGCGAGGAGAACTTGGCTTTGCTAAATGAAAATTCTAGAACTAGACTATATGAAACGGAGAAAGTGTGAGATAAAAATTTATTTAATTTAATTTAATTTTTTTTAAAATCTTATATTTATTATATTTTTAGATATATATATATAGGGGTGATCATTCAATCGAGTCGAGTAAAAAAATTTTGAGTTGACGAGTTCTATTTTACAACTCAGAGTTGACTTGAAATTTTTTCGAATCGAGTTTATAAAATTCGAGCCAAGTCAATTTTTTGAGTTTCTATTTAAATTTAATTGTAAATATTTATAATATTATTATATCATTTGATTCCAATTTAAGTGACTTTTCTATAACCATATATACAATACAAATATATTTATTCATATTTTTTTCATATGTGATATGCATACATAATAAAAAATCGAAGGACTCGACTCAAATTTAAAAACAAATCCACTAATTACTAAAAAATATGAATTATTCGAATTGTATTTTACAATTTGATTTGAATTTGAATTTTTTTAATCGAGCCTATGAAATTGCAACTCGAAACCAATTCGAGTTGAAAAAAATCAATTTTTATATCATTATAGTTCAATAATTATATTTTCTTTAATAGTTTGGATGATTTTATATTCCCTTATAATCTAGGTTTGATTCTATTAATTATCATTGCTATTTCTATTATCCTGTAATTTCTTATAATATAAATTAAATAGCATGCGTTGCAAATCTATAACATGATATGGAAGCTGGAGTAGTGGTAGGCCACGCGAAGCCAGGGTTCGATTCCTACCATTAGATTACCTCTCTTCCAATTTACTTTCCTTTAATCTTGTCATTGCACGTATTGTCATATCATTGAATAATTAATATATTGAATCAATCTAAAATTATGATTGAATTTATGTAATATATAAATTGTTTAATTGCCACATCAGTACAACATATTACTGTTAACGACAAGTGGTTTAATTGAATATATTTAAATAGTATGGTGACCTAATTGACGATAATTTAAAAATGATGGTCAAAATAAAAATGAACTATAATTAGGTAGTAATTGATATAGTTCACCTAAAATATATTACTACAAGTAAACATATAAGAAATTGGGTATTTGTATTAGAAATGTTGATCAAAATGAAAATGGATTATAATTAGGTGGTTACTAATATAATTTACCCTAAAATATACTATTACAATTCAACATTTAATAGATTAGGTATTTGTATTAAAGGTAAAATAATTTGCATATACTTAATCGGATACAAATCTAGCACGTGCTTGAAGAAAATATAGAAGTTGTTAAGTAAACCGCATATTAAATTTTGATATAACTGAGTATTAAACGCTAGACATAATAGTCTCCGAAGTAAAGAGAAAAGAACAGTGTACTAATTAAGTGATTTTAATGATGAAACAAATAATTGTTAGTTCCCATTGAGGGTATTTTATAATTTGGAGGTTTCCTACGGAAGTTGCTCTCGACCTAGTGTTAGGGCAGTCTACTATCTTACCTCCCTTTACCTATTACATATGGGAACAAGGGATAACTATTTACTGACAGGCGAATTAAAGAGTAAAGAGAAATGGTATGTATTAAATAATTTTAATGGTTAAAAAATAATTATTATTCGTAATTGGAAGTTTAAATATGATATCTATAGATAAGGATGAACGATTATTTTTAAATCAAGGGAAGAAATTCTAAAATTTTGGGATGGAGGGAATCTGAAATTTTTACAAGAGATGATTGTCTCTACGTGCCCCTTAATCCTTCTCTTTTGAATATTTATTATTTAATAGTTACTTTTTTCCTAAAAGAGATATTATACTACATTATAATTAACTCGACTAATAAAAAACAAAAAGAGTGATTTGATGCTTTGTTTTTCATTTTTTGTCTTCAGCGTGGATTTGTAATAAAATGGTAAAGGAAAATCAAAACAGGGACCCACTCGGGGCCAGGATCGACCTTCTTCTTGGACTTTAAAAGCTAGTGGATGTCCCTGCAGAGCAGAGCAACCAGAGTTCCTTCACCGCCTTTAATTTAGCTCTCTCGTCTTGTTTCTTAGTTTTTTTCTTATCATCTTCGATTGAAATATTGAACTACTCTGAACTTTGACATGGGGGAAGCTACAGAAATACAACTCCAGATCCTGGGTAAGTGCTTCCACTTCATCTATATAATTATGATTTTCCATAATTTTATTTAAAGAATCAATTCACATGTAAAAAGTACTGATAATTTACCAGACGAGAACAAATTAGATGAAAATTCAGCTGAGCGGAAAACAAATGGAATCATGAGCCAGTCAAAAAGAAGCTACAAATGGTGGCTCCTAGTGGCAATCTATACACTTTTTCTCCTCGCCGGTCAGTCAACGGCCACTCTTCTCGGAAGGTTGTACTACGACAAAGGTGGAAACAGCAAGTGGCTGGCAACCTTAGTTCAAGTTGCCGGTTTCCCGATCCTCATTCCCTTGTATTACCTTTCATCATACAAATCTTCAAACCACAACACAAACAACAGCAACATCATCATCATAAACCCACCGTCTGTTCTCCTTCTTTCGGGCATGTATTCTGGACTTGGAGTTCTATTAGCAGCCGATTGCCTGTTGTATTCAGTTGGTCTTTTATATCTCTCGGTCTCCACTTATTCAATCATTTGTGCTTCCCAATTAGCCTTCAATGCCTTGTTTTCGTTCTTCCTTAACTCACAAAAGTTCACCCCTTTCATAATCAACTCTCTAGTTCTCTTAACAATCTCTTCAGCCCTTCTCGTATTCCAAAACGATTCCTCCGGTTCCACATCGGTTTCCAAAGGGAAATACGTGATCGGATTTGTATGTACAGTAGCTGCGTCTGCGGGGTACGGATTAATGATGTCCCTAACTCAATTTTGTTTCCAAAAGATTCTGAAAAAGGAAACCTTTAAGATCGTGTTGGACATGATAGTCTACCAGTCGTTGGTTGCAACTTTGGTGATCTTTGTGGGGCTTTTCATCAGTGGGGAGTCGGGAAATTTGGGCAGAGAAATGGAAGGGTTTAAGATGGGGAAGTCATCGTACGTGAACGTGCTGGTTTGTATAGCCATAGGGTGGCAAGTTTTCTCGATCGGTGCGGTGGGTTTGATAATGGAAGCGTCTTCGCTTTTCTCGAATGTCATCGGCACGTTGGGGCTGCCTATTGTTCCAGTGTTTGCAATGGTGTTTTTCCACGATCCCATGACCGGGATTAAGGTCATTTCTATGGTGTTGGCCATTTGGGGATTTGTTTCCTATGTTTATCAGCACTATCTCGATGATCGGAAATCTGAGACTGGAAGGGTTTAAACAAAAATTGTCATGAAATTGTACTGTTTATCATTCACAAAGATATATAATGAACTAGATTCCCTGTATTCATGCCGATAGTTGGCTCTTTTTTGCCGGAGTATTCATGTGCATGGTTTGGTTGTTGAGAACATATGCTATATTTCATCGTTATGTAATAATGATTGAATAAAAAAAGATTGATAGATTTTAGCTAAACTCATAATCTGATAAATCGATAAAAAAAAATTATACTTTTCCCTTTATGATTTTATTTTTGGATATTTTAAGGATAAATTATTTTATTTTATTTTATCATTTAATTATTATTATATTTTTATGTTTGGTAATTAAATTATTTTTAATAAAATCATTATTAATATCACATTTTCTTAAGTTATTGGTTATTGAATTTGAATTTTCATCAAAATTTAATAAAAATAGTGATGTGTTCTCGTATAATAATAATTTTGGTTTATAAAATCTTTCAATATTTAAAAATCTTATTAATTTAGTTATCAATGTTTAAAAAATCTCATTAAATCTAAAATCGAAATTTGGTACATCCATCTATGTTTTCAAATGATGAAACCGAGATGGAACAATAACTAAGCTCATTTCTTATTTCTCCATTCTATTTCATGGATTTATTCAAGAAGGTGGTTGTAGAGAAATTAATGGGTATAATTGTTGGGGGAAATCGTGTTATTTCACACGAACGTAATTTTAAAATTGACCTAAAATGTTAAGATTAAAACCACCAAAGGTTGCACAGCGGATAAACATGTCAAACTATTGAATATTGAAACATAATGGAAAAAACCGAATAAAAATAATAAAGGAGAGAACACACCAAATTTACGAGGTTCGACGATAATATCGTCTATTCCTCGGGCACCACACCGGATGATAACTTCACTATATCACCAATATTATAAATGAAATTATTTAGAATTCCCAAAGTGGGAGAATGAAGAATACAAGAGGAAGAGAGAACTTGTTTTGGGATGATTTCTAATGAAATACTTAGGCCTATTTATAGTTGAGTTTTAAGGACTAAACTTATAAATAACCTAATATTTTAGGGATCAAACATGAAAAATAAGTTGGCCACCTACCAAAGAATTTTCCAATGTGTACAAGTTAGCCACCAAATATGAAATTCCCATGTTCAAAGTTTGGCCACCAACCAAGATGAAATTTCCAATAAGTTGGCCACCAACCAAGATAAAATTTTCAACTTGCCAATTTAATTTCAAGCCAAATCTAACAAATCTCCAACTTGGCTTGAAATTACCAAGCCTACTCAACTTCTTCAACTCCCCAAATTTGTAGTGCCTCTAATTGCACTCACAAGTGCCACACACCCGAAGGTGTTCATACTTTCAGGATGTTAATCAAGTTCAAACAATGATTGAACTTGATTACTGCTACCACATTGGTCATCATATTGCAGGATTTTCTGATGTCGCAATTTTCTGAAGTAGAATCTTTCCTTCTTCAAAGATCTCTCGCACAAAGTGATACCTCACGTCGATATGCTTAGTCCTTGAATGGTAGACTTGATTTTTCGCTAAGTGAATAGCGCTCTGACTGTCACAATAGAGACTAATGTGACTTTGAACAACTCCCAAGTCTTCCATCAACCGTTAAGCCAAATTGCTTCCTTTACAGCCTCTGAAACTGCCATGTATTTTGCCTCTGTAGTAGACAAGGCCACCGTAGATTGCAATGTAGACTTCCAACCTACTGGGGCTTTAGCAAGAGTAAACAAATACCCAGTAGTTGATCGACGCTTATCCAAATCACCAGCATAATCGGAATCAGCATATCCAACCACACACTGACCAAGTGCTTCATTATGTTCAAAAACTAAACCAACATCCACGGTTTGTTGGAGATACCGTAGAATCCATTTCACAGCTTGCCAATGTCCTTCTCCAGGATCATGCATGTACCTGCTCACAACTCCAACTGCTTGTGAAATGTCAGGACGCGTACACACCATTGCATACATCAAGCTCCCAATTGCATTAGCATATGGAACTTTTTCCATATACTTTCGTTCTTCGTTAGTTTTAGGAGATAATTGAGAACTAAGTTTCAAATGAGAAGCCAGTGGGATATTTACATGTTTGGTATTTTCATTCATGCCAAAACATTGTAATACCTTTCTCAGATACTGCTTCTATTTTAAACAAAGTTTCCCTCTCTGTCTATCTCTGCTTATCTCCATACCAAAAATCTTCTTGGCCTCACCTAGATCGTTCATCCCAAACTCTTAATTCAACTGAGCCTTTAATTTGTCTATCTCCTTTTGACTCTTCGAAGCGATCAACATATTGTCAACGTACAAAAGAAGATAAATGAAAGATCCATCTTTGAGCTTTTATAAATACACACAATGATCATATTTGCTTCTAGTGTACTTTTGCCTCCTCATAAAGCTATCAAATCGCTTGTACCACTGCCTCGGAGATTGCTTCAATCCATATAGCGATTTGTTCAACTTACAAACCCATTTCTCACGACCACCATCTTTGTATCCTTCTGGCTGAGTCATATAGATCTCCTCTTCTAAATCACCGTGCAAGAAAGCCGTCTTTACATCAAGTTGAGCTAGCTCCAAATTCAACTATGCTACCAAGACCAACAATATTCTAATGGAGGAATGCTTCACAACAGGGGAAAATACTTTATTGTAGTCGATTCCCTCCTTTTGAGCGTAGCCTTTAGCTACCAACCGTGCCTTGTAGCGAACATCTTTCTTGCTATGAGATCCATCTTTCTTTGCAAATACCCAATTGCATCCAATTGATCTTTTACATTTCGGTAATTGAGCCAGTTTTCAAGTGTTGTTCTTTTGGAGAGATTGCATTTCTTCATCCATGGCATTTTTCCACTTTTCACTTTCCAAGCTTTGTATTGCTTCTTGGTAAGTGATAGGGATATCATCATCAACAACTGGAAGAGCATAGGCCACCATATCAACAAATCGAGCAGGTCTACGAATTTCTCTCATTGGCCTTGTAACTGCAAGTGGTTCTGGTGTCTCCAATGGTTCTTGGGTTTGAACTCTTCATCTTCTGATTATTCTATTGGAGTTGAAGAATCAGTTGCATCAACTTCTAGGATCATCGTCTGCTGAAACTCTACCTGTTTTGGAGTATACTTCACCTGCTGCGGATACTTGTCTGGACAACTTCATTTGTTACCTTCTTTATTAGGGCAGATTAATCAAAGGTAACATCTCTGCTACAAATTATCTTCTTGGTGTCTAAACACCAAAGGCAAAATCCCTTCACTCCATGGGTGATTCCCATAAAGAAAGCCTTCTTTGCTCTTGGATCAAGCTTGGATTCCTTTACATGATAATAAACAGTGGATCTAAATATATGTAAGGAATCATAATCAGTAGCAGGTTTTCCAGACCATACCTCCAATGGTGTTTTTCCTCCTATCGCTGATGACGACAGACGATTGATGAGATGGTCAACATATGTCATAGCCTCAGCCCAAAATGCCTTGCCTAACCCAGCATTAGACAATATACATCGAACTTTCTCCAATAGTGTTCGATTCATACGCTATGCCAACCCATTCTATTGTGGTGTATTTCTAACCATGAAGTGTCAAACAATACCATACTCATGGCAAACGTCAAAGAATGGGTCACTTTTATATTCCCCTCCATTGTCCGTCCTAAGACGTTTGATCTTTCTACCAGTCTGGTTATCGATCATATTTTTCCATTTCAGGAAAATTTAGAGCACTTCATCTTTAGACTTCATCGGATACACCCAAACTCTTTTGGAAAAGTCATCTACAAAAGTTACAAAATAATGGTTTCCTCCCAAAGACGATATCTTTGAAGGACCCCATACATCTGAGTGAATATAATCCACAATACCTTTTGTATTATGTATAATGGTGCCAAACTTCACTCTCTTCTGCTTTCCCAGAACACAATGCTTGCAAAAGTTCAATTTGCAAGTCTTTGCACATTTCAACAATCATTTCTTTGCCAGAATTTGCAAGGATTTCTCTTCAGCATGCCCCAACCGCATATGCCATAACTAGGTTGCGTCCAAATCATCACCTCCGGAAGCTGCTGCAACTGCTCAATAATTGTACTACCGTGGTAGTAATACAAATTATTTTTCCTGATGCCCTTCATCATCACAAGTGTGCCATATGTGACTTTTAAAACTCCATCTCTCATAGTGACTACTGAGCCTTTGGATTTCAAGGCTCCCAACGAGATGAGATTTTTCTTCAAACTGGGCATGTATCGGACATCTGTCAGAACTCTGGTTGATCCATCTTGATTCTTCAATCGAATTGAACTTATCCCAATAGTTTTACAGGCATTGTCATTGCCCATATAAACAACTCCTGCATTTAGTTCTACTAAATCACAGAACCACTCCTGATTAGGGGACATATGATATGTGCAACCCTAATCTAATATCCATTCATCTGAATAGAATATTGTTGATGAAACAACCAATGATATGTCAGAGTCATTTGCACCATACTCTGCAACACATGCATATGGAGTAGCTTTTCCTTTCTTATTCAGCTTCGGACAATCTTTCTTCCAATGGCATTTCTCATGACAAAAGGCACATTCATCTTTTCCTAGTCTGGACTTCGACTTTGATCTCCCTCTCCACTTTGGCTTTTGACTTTTTGAGCGACCTCTTGCCACCATGGCCTCCGCTGCTTCGTACTTGCTCTCCTTCTTGGTTTTCTTCCTAAGCTCATAACTATACAAAGCAACAGTTATATCTTTAAGGGTAACATTATCCTTACCATGAAGTAACGTTATCTCAAGGTGCTCAAATTTATCTGGAAGAGATGACAACAATATCAAGACCAAATCTTCATCTTTGAAGGTTTCATCCATGCCCAATAAGTCTGCCACTAGCTCATTGAACGCAGTGATGTACTCATTCATACTGGTGCCTAGTTGATAATCAAATCTGAACAATCTTTTCTTCATGTGGAGACGATTCTGAGAGCTTTTCTTTAGGAATTTTTCCTCCAATGCTTTCCACATCTTTCTTGCAGAAGTCTCGTTCTTGTAGCCATACTTCTGCTCCCTGAAAGACAAGATCGAATCGTGCTGCAATCCAAACGATTGATTGTTCCCCATTATTTCTCCTCCACATATTCGAGCTTTTCTTCCTCAATGGTGATGTCTAGACCTTGTTGGAATAAAGTGTCTAACACCTCGCCTTGCCACATGCCAAAATGACTGAATTCATCGAACAACTCCACCGAGAAATTTGCATTTGACATCCTCCTCCTCACCGGTCCGGATGAAGAGCTTGATGTCTCAACTGATCCGTATTTTGGCATTTTAATTCCAACGAACAATATTCAATAGCACGAACTGTATCTTTTCAGCAACGGAACCACCAGGATAACCTCAACCGAAGCTCTAATGCCAATTGTTGGGGAAATCATGTTATTTCCCACACGAACGTAGTTTCAAAATTGACCTAAAATGTCAAGATTAAAACCACTAAAGGTTGCACAGCGGATAAACCTGTCAAACTTTTGAATATTGAAACTCAATGGAAAAAATCGAATAAAAACAATAAAGGAGATAACACACTAAATTTACGAGGTTCGACGAGAATATCGTCTACTCCTCGGGCACACACCGGATGATAACTTCACTATATCGCCAATATTACAACAAATGGAATTCTTTAGAATTCCCAAAGTGGGAGAATGAAGAATACAAGAGGAAGATATAACTTGTTTTGGGATGATTTCCAATGAAATACTTAGGTCTATTTATTGTTGAGTTTTAAGGACTAAACTTATAAATAACTTAATATTTTAGGGATCAAACATGAAAAATAAGTTGGCCACCTACCAAAGAATTTTTCAATGTGTACAAGTTAGCCACCAAACATGAAATTCCCATGTTCAAAGTTTGGCCACCAATCAAGATGAAATTTCCAATAAGTTGGCCACCAACCAAGATCAAATTTCCAACTTACCAACTTAATTTCAAGCCAAATCTAACGATAATAATATATGAGAAATTGAGGCAAATATTCTTGGCAACACAACACACCATATTAGTCGGTTAGCATCACAATTACAACAAATCAAAATCAGAACATTAATTTAATAACTATATACGAAATCTTTATTTTTATTCTTTCGTATTGAAATTGTATTCTCATTGTTGTTAACTACAAGCGAAACTTTTTCACATTTTTAAGATTCCGATATGGAAAGTAAATAACGATGTTTTCGACTCATCTCAATAGCCATTTTAATTCTTACTTTTCTTCATCAATTATTAAACGATCAATGTCAAGCAAATAAAAAACAAAAGAATAGAATGAAAGTACAAGAGTATAGTAAAAAGGGTAAACTACTAAAATGATCACTTAATCATGGGGTTCGTGTCAATATGACAACTACACTTTCAATTTTGGTGATATGACCACATGATTATTTAAACGGTTACACTTATTGTTAAAAATAGACGGTGTTGTTGATGTGGACTTTTAACTCATCGGTAGTCAATAACAGTCACATTAGCTATGACGTTCATTTTAACGACAAATGACTATATTGAAACCACTTAGATAATTATGTAGTCATATTATCAAAATTTGAAAGTATAATCATCACATGAACACCAACCTCAAAGTTAAATGGCTATTTGAGAAGTTTATGTGCAAAGGAAGAAAGGTGGATGGTTTTCCAATGATCAGAATGTACATAATTATCAGACATGATTTTGAGATGGAAAAAAAGTAGAAAGATTCAAGATTACTTTTGAGACTTCATTAACCTTTTCAAAAAAATCTAGTCCGATAAAAAAAATTGGAGAGAAATGTCGAAACGATTTGGACAATCTTCTTAAAAAAATAAATTTAAAATTTTCAAAAGTTTGATTTTTAAAATATCTCATCTCGAATAATTTGGTATTTTCTTCTAATAATAAAATGTGGTTTGAGAGTCGTCATCAATCTTGATTATGGTGTGATTGGATACTCAAAATATTTTATTATTTTAATAAAATTTAATTTTAATTAAAACAAAATTTTCATATGATGAATGCATGCAATATAATAGAGATATTTGTGTGGTTGTCTTTCTGTTTGTAAGTTCTTTGATGGAGATCGATGAACACGTCGTGGGTTAGAGATTACAATTATTCGCGTTATTATAGTATGTATTGGATATTTGTAGAGGGTATGTATTATTCATTGGCTTCATGTATATTTGAGTTGTAACTTTATTTTATCACATTTAATATTTGTACTTTGATTTGTACCATCAGAATTTATATTTCGTAGACTTAATTTATACTCTTATTACGATTTGGTGGTGATGTTATTCAATTTTCAAGTAAATGATTTAAAAATCGATTAGTTACTTTGTTAATTTCGTGTAACACTCGATTTTTTCAGATTAGGGAATGATCGAATTAAAGTGTTACGCATATTACTAATAATATTATAAAAATACTAAAAATATAATAATAAATCATAATTTAACAAATAGTTATTTCAAAACAATTTCTCACGCCTTTTTTATCTGTATAAAGATATGGAAACAATTTTATCTAATACAACAAAACAAAATATAAATTATTAAAATAATACTTACTTAAAGTAATGATCCACCAGTTAAAACGAAGCAAAATATCGTAAGAAATCTCTGATATCAAATTTGAAATATAATTACAAGTCCTAAATCTGTTGCCCCATATTGTATGCCCGAAATCTCCTCCCTACCAAATTCCATGCGTCCGGCATGGGAAAGTTAAAGTCTGTCGGGTGATTTATGCATTTTCTAAAACAAATTGCTTTTTATGCGTTTCTCTAAAAACGTTGTGTCGGACGGGGTCTTCTCAAAAACGCTGTATCAATCGAGCATCGACGCTATCATCTCAAATGGTTTTTTCATATATATATATATATATATATATATATGAAAGGTGTATTTTTATAAATATATTAGATCAAGTAAAAACAGGTCATTTCTGAAGCTCGCATTGACTCAGAATTCAATTTATTAAATGTCTCCAACTTACGTAAATATGATTTTCAAAATAATAAAAGAAAAGGTGCTTCACATATCAATTAATTTTACCATCGCTGGTTACAACATAGTTTAAAATTGATAATTGGATTTTTTTTTTTACTTCTGACAAATATTTTTTAACGAGTTTTGATGGAGAAAACAAAAGATCATTTGGAATCGAACCCCAAATTTAATATCAATCCAGATTGAAGTAATATTATTTATAGCAACCACATGATCTACTTTTTAACAAGTTTTAAAATTGTTTGCCTTTGCAAGTAAAACAATAATGGGTTTTTCTTTACACTCCTGATAGAAATAAATTATTCGACACATTCATACATCATAAATAAATAAATTCTGTAGCTTAAACTCACAACGTAAATCGAGTGATGAACGCCACTGGACCAAGCATCTGCTTCAAAACAACCATGATTTAACTGGGGGGGAAACCCATCATTTTTTAGCATTCAATATTGCAATAGCAATCAACTGTATAGCACTTGATCTTGAAATATGCACCAACAACATTAAACTAGGAGTAAAATAAAATTAGTTCCGTTTGCAAGAAGGAACAGCATGAGAGAAATCTAGGTAACGCTGTTTCATGACAAATTTGCTCAAACTATTCCAGTCTCAGAGTTCTGATCATCGAGATAGTGCTGATAAACATAAGAAACAAATCCCCAAATGGCCAACACCATAGAAACGACCTTACTCCCGGTCATGGGATCGTGGAAAAACACCATTGCAAACACTGGAACAATAGGCAGCCCCAACGTGCTGATGACATTCGAGAAAAGCGAAGACGCTTCCATTATCAAACCCACCGCACCGATCGAGAAAACTTGCCACCCTATGGCGATCCAAACCAAAACGTTCACGTACGATAATTTCCCCAGTTCAAACCTTTCCATTTCTTTGCCCAAACCCTTCCATTCCCCACTGGCGAAGAGACCCACAAAGATTATCAAAGTTGCAACAAATTGCCGGTAGATTATCATGTCCAACACAACCTTGAACGTTTGTTTTTCCACAACCTTCTGGAAGCAAAATTGTGTTAGAGCCAGCGATAATCCATACCCTGCCGACGCAGCTAGCGTACATACAAATCCAATCACATATTTGCCTTTGGAAACCGGCGTGGAGCCTGAGGAATCGTTTTGGAACACGAGAAGGGCTGAGGAGATCGTGAGTAGTACTAAAGAGTTGATTATGAAAGGGGTGAACTTTTGTGAGTTGAGGAAGAAGCAGAAGAAGGCATTAAAGGCTAACTGGGAAGCACAAATGAGGGAATAAGTTGAAACCGGAAGATCCGAAAGGCCAACTGAATACAACAGGCAACTGACGGCCGAAAGTATTCCGAGTCCAAAATACATACCCGAAAGAACTAAAACAGATGGCGTGTTCATTTTCATGTTGCTTTTCTTTGTGTTTTGGCTTGAAGAATTATACGATGAAAAGTAATACAATGGCATAAGTATCGGGAAACCGGCAATTTGAACGAAGGTTGCTAGCCAGTTGCTAGTTCCACCTTTGTCATAGTACAATCTTCCGAGAAGTGTAGACATCGACTGACCGGCGAGGAGGAAAAATGTATAGATTGTCATTAGGAGCCACCATTTGTAGTTTCTTTGTCGAGTGATGCTTCCATTTGTTTCATGCTCAACTGAATTTTCATCTAGTTTGTCTTCGTCGACTGCTAAACAATCAGTAATTTGCATGTAGCTAATTAATAAGGTTATTCAAGTTCTTAATCAAAACTATATATGTATATATGAAGTGAAGGGTAACTTACCTAGGATCTGGAGTTGTATTTCTGGAGCTTCCGCCATGGCAAAGTTTTGAGCAGCTGAATGATCCAGCATTGTTGTTATTTCTGGTTGAAGAAAAACAGTAAGCAAAAGAAAGTTGAAGGCGGAGAAATAGAGAAAGGAAAAATGCATGGCATTGATGGGTATTGTGCACCACTTGTAATGAGAAACCTGTACCAACTCTGGGCTTGCTCTGCAGGACCGAGGTCTCCACCGATTTTAAAGTCCTGCCTAGAGAAGCTCGATCCTGCCCTTGGGTGGGTCCATTTTCCTTGATTCTTTTACTTTACCATTCAATTTCTATTTTCATTTACAAATTCATGCTAATGACCAAAATGAAAAACTAAAAAAAATACATTATCCAAAAAAATTGTTAAATATTTATATTTAAGTGTAAGGTACGAGCACGAACCAAAGTGACTTCCATGGTAAAGGAATAGTTGTTATTCTTATAGGACTCAAATTTGAACACCATAAATGTTAGGAGTGTATTGTGAGAGATCAATATCAAAAGATTGAAAGTTATCTTTGATCAGATATTGCCATGTACTTACCTCATATTATTCAAAAAAATGTAAGGTACGAATCTAATTTTTATATTTCAATAAAATGGCTGTCCCTTGTTTCCCTATGTAATGGGGTAAGGGAGAGATAAGATAGTAGGCTGCCCCCAACATTAGGTTGAGAGCAACTTCTGTCCCTTGTGCTCTCCATCAAGGTTAAGAACTTGTGCTCTTTATTCAATGGTTTTATATTCAATGTGGTTCTTATATTAAGTGTAACTTAATAAAATCATAAATATATTCATCACTCTTGTTGGTTAGTAATTTTCATAAATTTATTGGTTTGTAAGTGTAATAATTATTTTTGAATTTTTTTTAAAAAAAATTAATTAATGTTTTCACAAGTTTTTTTTAAAACAAATGTATTAAATTATTTATTTATTGACAAATCTATTTCTTCTATACACAAATATCATGTAACGGCTTAAATTTCTGCGTCAAAGTATAAGAATTAATCTGTTGAATCGGTTTAAGATCTTATTGGACTATTGACGCATGTTGGGCGACAATTGAGTGATAATTGGACTCGCCTAAAAAAGTGGATTTTATGAGAGTTTAATAGTTAAGGGACTAAAAGAATAATTAACATATTGAGGATTTCAGGGTTGATCTCTTGGTTGATTTGGGTGATGCCACGTGGAATTAAGGCGGGGGGGGGGGGAATATGATCACTTTCACCCACCCTTATTTTATCATCTTGTCTCCTTTTTTCCCCCATTCCGCTCTAAATCTTCAATCTTCATTATCTGCATCCTAAAGAAGGAATTTCAACCCCAATTAAAGTGAGAAATATTATAAGAATTCTATGAGCTTCATTATAAGACTCATATCATCCATTGTAGAAGCTAAAATTAAAGAGGGTCTTTGAAGAGGTTTAAGCTTGAGGGGTAGTTCAGGAGTTTCTAAAGCATGTCCATGTATCAAATTCGTTCAGACTTTATTGGATTATTGAAGTGATTAGAAATTATTTTTGATGTTGTGATTAGCATAGGAGCAAGGAGAACCCTCTAGATATAGAGGCAAAGGAAAGCTTGGTGAATCTTGATCAATAAGTCTTCTTTGGTTTATTTTGTGTAAGAATAAGATAGTGTAATCCCTTTTAATATCATGGTCATCAAAAAAATAATATCTTATGGTAGAATGTGACTTGAAAGGATTTTTTTTGGTGTTATGATTGATTTTGGCTTTAAATGTTTGATTTGATGTTTAACATTGGATATTTTAGTGTTAAAGCTATTCAGTGGTTAAAGAGATGATTTTTATCTCTAGAGATCTCAAGTTTAAGCATATTGTTAGGAGTTTTTGAAAGTTCATTGTCAAATAGATTAGGAGTCATTCAAATAAATATTATCTTATAATAACTCTTAAATTAATAAAAAAATGCTAAATGATTTTATTGAACCCCTTTGAACACTAAAAATAATATTTGTCCTTAATGATAAGCAATATAGGCGCTTTAGGAGTGTTTATCAAGCTTTAGAAATTATTTTCTAGACTTTGATATTGGTGCAGTTCATGTAATATCGATACTAATTAAATTAGTGTAGAAATCTAGGCTAAAATGATCTTAGGTATCGATATCAAGGGATTGATATAGATGTCGAGTGAATTTATTCAAACTTTGGGGTTAATTTTAATATCAATATTCTAGGAGAGTATCAATATTTATAGGGTGGTATCGGTGCTAATATGGTAATATCAATACCCATTTATGTTATAGAACTTTGAGGGTAGACTTTATATTAGTACTCGAGGTGAGCATCAATATCAATGAGGTGATATGGATATTGAAGTGTTGTAATATCCTAAACTCGATATTACAATCAAATCCAAAGTGTCACACAATTTAAAAACCAAACTAATATTTCAAAATAAAAATAGTAAGCCTAATAAATCGATTAGAAAGTCACAAATTAGAAATAAAATTATACTTCTTGAAACATATCTAAAATGTTGCCACAAACAACAAGCTGCCTTTCACCATCAATGGCAGAGGCAAGTATTATTCATGGTGGGCAATTGTTAAAATTTGAGTTCTTTATATTAATGTAATATTCGATTTTTACTCGGCCTAATTTTTAAGATCCAAATATTTTTATTGAATTTGATTTTAAAGTATAGGTCATCAATCGACTTGCAATAAATTTTTAAGTGGAATCAAATATTTTCTAGGCATGATGTATTTTTGAAATAAAAGTAGCTTTTAGTTAGTTTTCCAACGTATTTTGAAATGTCTCGGAAATTCAATATATACTTATTTTAACGAAGACAACATGCGAAGAAAATTAAATGCGAGTCCAATACTAGAATTTTAATTTATTATGAATATTCAATTATGTTATTGATTATTTGTAATTAAATTTAGGTATAACTTTTCATTATTTATTTAATTGTAATTTAAGATTTTTTTTATTTTAAGTTTTTTCTTTTAATTAATTTATCTACCGTTAATGAAAAAATGTTATGGTTTTCTCTAACTTTTCTTTATTTATTTTTTTAATTTATCATTCTAAAAATATATGTTTTTTTTAAATTAATTTTTTATTTGTATTTATGATTCATTGATTTATTTTAATATTTATTTATTATTGTGTGTCATTTAAATATTTTTCTATGCACATTTTGTTTCAATTTACCATTTCATTTATGTTTTAGGTTAATTTCTTTATTTCGGTACATGTAACCCTTTTATTTCATTTTTTTAAGATTAAACTCATTTTTTTATTATATATTTTGTATCTTAATTTATTTAAATTTTACTGTGATAGACTCTCAAAGATAAATACTTTAGGTCTCTCTTTAAATTTTGGTTCTAACTTTAATTTTTTTTATTAAAACAACTCATAATTGTGTTGGTATCGAAAAACGATGTGGATATATTCATCATTTCTCACATATAATCGACTCTCGAATTCTTATAAATGAATATCTTGTAAGACGTAGATTCGGTAAAAGATAAAATTTAGGTATCTGACCTTATCTAATCGAGAAAGGTTGGTAACAGCTCCAAAAGGTAAATTATTCACTTTAAGTCAAGATTCGATCTCGAATCACTCGAAAGTCCATTACGACAGCTAGCTGTCTATTTTACTAATGGTGACTAGCCTAAAATTTAATTTATACCAACCACGTACAAAAGAATTATATTATGAATATATATATATCGACTCACAAAAATATTTCTAGATTATCATTGTTGATCATCATTCATTGACCACCTAAACACAGTCTGAAACTGTAGTCGTAAACTATTTGTAGACGAATAATTTGCATTGATAAGGTCAAATTAATACATCCACGACTTCTAAACAATGGCAACTGAATTTTATTAATAATAAAAAGAATCAAAATTGCAACGCATCAGAATATAGAGAATTTTGGAGACAATAATCACCAAGATACTTGTACAAAAGTAAATAATAAACCTAAAAATACAAAGATATTAATTTTTTCCCTAAAAATGAAAGAAAAAAGCAGAGGTGAATAAGATATTGATAAGAATAAATGTAATTTATTTATATTGAGGAAAATGTACAAAATACTCGACTCTTCACTTTTCCTAAAATACCCGTATCTGCCAACATAAGGTGCTCATCCAGTCCAACCACTTGGATTAAACATTACATTCAGACACGCTCAAAGGTATTCATCCAACCCCCTAAACTGAACATGCCCATATCGGACTCATGTCTGTATCTGACACATACCCTGACCGCATATGATAACATAGGCCGCCGGTCAGAGGGCATCGGACTTTTTTCCGACCAACATTGGCCAGGATTCTCTGACCAAGTTTCTAACCATGAAAACCAATTAAACTGGAACAGGAGATGGTTCACCTATTGAATAGTGCATTGTGGATGAGAAAGAAGACTACCTTAACGTTGCCGTCTCTTGCCTTAAATGCTAACCAACCAGCCGTTTCTGAAGTTGACGATTCGATGCCATCCATGACTATCTATCTATGCCGCCATCATCGTATTTTAACAATGATTATAAGCTCGTCTCTTGCAGATTAATGATTATGATCCATAAGATCGGCAAGAGTTATCTTCCCGCAATTGCCAGCATCCAGCCTATCAAACTTCTCGCTGATCTGCATAATGTCTTTGTCTGAGACCTTTCCCATCTCCTTCAGCTTGTATATCACAAACTCAGATTTGCTGCATACAGAAAACAAGATTAATACTCAACAACAAATCAAGAAAACTACACTTTAGTTCGACAGTACAGGAACATAAAATAAAAACGTCATGACAAAGATATTGTCAGACAAATTACCAAGAACAATTTAAGAACTAGAATGTTAGAGGGTGATGCAACATACGAAAGCGAAACTATTCAGTGTCCAGTGCAAAATCTAGTCAAATGAAGTAAGACCTTAAGGACTTCAATCATCATCACATAAGAAGGAAACACGGCAGCTTAACATATTACAGACATAAGATGGAAAGCACCCCGTCCAATGCATCACACAAGAGCGAGGATGATTATCATAACTCAATTCCAGAAGATCATATACTTGATCAAGCAGACAGAACAAATTAGAAGGAGCAGATGTGGTATAGAAATTGTGCTCGCAAGGGGGACACGCGATTTGAATAGCATGTATACAGCAATTCCGACGAATAGGGCCTTGAGAGAAAAATATAATTCCATTTTCGAGGAGTTATGCAATTAAAAGTTCTTTGGACTGAGAACCTATTAGTTGAAAATTTAAGCAATTGCATGTTAATGATTCCGAATATGAGTTGTCAAGCTTTCATTAAATACATACTCCCCATAACCTTTATATTGAAACTCAAACGAAGCTAAAATCAGCGTTCCAACACAAAAATATGTCAACTAATGAACCAAAGACTACAGCAGTTACAGAAGAAAGAAGGAAACTACAGTAAGTTTCGGAATTAGTATATTAACCTTTCAGGTATTATTGCACCAACAAATAAAACTTCAAGCATAAAACCACTAGAAACTTGACAAGATGAAGATGCATAATTCAAGTACTAACCAAATGTCATAAAAAACATACCTCACAAAGCCATTGTTGTCAATATCGGCAGCAAGAAACTCCGAGATAGTCATGTCCTGCCCGAGCACCCACTTTGCAATTCTCCTATGCCTCTTATCAACTCTAGCCTCAGCCAAATACAGAAACGCTCGGGCAACAGCCAGAGTCGACACGAGCAACCAAATAGCAGCAAAAACCCTACCGGGCAACGTCTTGAATGCCCGGTCACCGTACCCGACGGTAGTGACCGACATAACAGAAAGATAAAATGCATCCAACCACCCAAGACTCTCAACAAAATGCATAACACCAACACCAATTCCAATACAAAGAACCACAACTCCTAATGCCAATCCAACCTTCATCCTTATCCTCATTCTCCCCTTTTTCACATCAATTATATAAGATCTCGCGGAATCCTTCTTTCGACCCTCATCTTCAACGGTTCTCAACAAATAGTTCTCTTGTAAATCAAGCACATAACTAACCATACCACTAAGCAAAATATCGATAAACCCGAATCCGACCAACACGAATAATATCGAAAACACCTTGGTAGCCACACTATTAGGGATTATATCACCATACCCAATTGTGCACATTGTGACGATACAAAAGTACAAGGCATCAACAACCGGGTGAGTTTCATGACCCAGGAAATTATGACGATTAAACCAATAGATAACAACACCCAAAGACAAATACACAACTAAAAGCACAAAAGCTTGCCTTACAATGGATTGGGAACCCAATTGAGGCTTGGGAATTGAAGGGCGAACGATGTCGTTCAACACCGCCATGGCGGGTGCCGTTTTGGACCTGTGGAGATTGGATTTCTCCCATATGAAATCTGGGTCTATAAACCACGAAGCTGTGGAGGGTGAGTTCAGTTGGTTCTGTTGCAAAAGAGGGTCTTGGAGATTTACAAGGGTGCTGTCTTGAGAAGAAGAGGAAGGTCTGGGTGAAGTTAAGGCGTCGAGGATAAGAGATGAACCGAATGGAGATTGTGAAGATGAAGGAGATGGACCAAAGATTAGTCTGTCTTTTAACTCGGATGGGGTTAAAGGGATTGGGAGAGAGACTTCATCGTTTTCGGGGAGAGGAAAAAGTGGTGGCGGTGGCGTTGGCTTCTTCCGGGGACTTGTGTATTGAAGCAACGGATCATTTTCCATATGGAAAATAGTCTGGGAAAAGGGGGAAAGTGAAAGATTTGGACTTTATTTCTGGGAATTTCGGGTAGAAATATAAATCTGAAGTGATGGGAACAATAAGAAGAACAGTGTTCATAGAGTACTTCCGTTCCGCTTTCAGCAAACAAAGGGGCTGCGCGTGTGACTGTGTTTTGTGTGCAGAACATCAATACAGAAGAGAACAAGGTAGAAGTTTTTCTAATAATAATAATAATAATAATAATGAAGAATACAAACCGTCTTCAATTATAAATTATTATTTTATTGAATTTTAGTAATATTAAAAATTATAAATTAATTATCAAATTATAAGATATTTTAAATATCTTAACTATTAAAAATTAGTACCACTCATCTTTATGCTCGGATCGAAAATGTCATTGACGTTTTAATTTTGTCAATTTTAGCATTGACGTTTATGTTTCACTTCAATTTTGCCACTCCGCCGTTAATCGTTAATGGCACAATGACATGGTATGGACGGGTCGTGACGGTGATGACGTGGATGACTTTTTTAAAGTTATTTAGTCCACGTAACATCTGTATTACCTGAGAAAAGTTGGAGATTCGCCACCACAAAACTCCCATTTCTTCACCACCACAAAACTCTCCCTCACTTGCCGTCCACTGTGCACGGTATCATCCGTTGCAAGAAGCTCGACAACCTCACTGGCGATTCGTTCTCCAATGACGAAAATCTTATAGCGTATCTTCTTGTCTTCTTAATTTTCTTTGGTTTCTTCTTGCTTTGCCTCGTAGGCTTTGTTTACAGTATAATTTTTAAGTTGGTGTTAAACATCTCTGAGGGGGAATCAGTGGAGAAGCTCCTCGAAGATGAAATAAGGATTTCCGTTTCTCTGTCGTTAATACCTTATTCTTCAAAGCTTCTGCTGGTAAAGAATCCGCTCTCGGCCGACGAGGTGCTCATCCGATTTTTCGGTGTCATTTTCCTTTTTCTGCATCGTCGTTTTTTCTTTACCGTGTTGGGAGGCACTGGAGGTGGAGTTAAATCGTCATCGTTTTCAAAGGTATTATAGAATTTGCGACATGGCCATTTGTTATCGTCTTAAACTTTCGCTATAACGTGACATATGTCTTCTTTTTCCCAGTGGAACTCCAATGTCGACGGCGGTGATGATTCAATACGGCCACTCCAGTGGAAAGTACCTAAGTAGCAACGGAGGCCATAAGAGATCGGTGGTAAAAACAGCGTAACCCCAAGTGGAAAAACTGATGCAAATCTTCTGGAAGGGTCAGCCGGTGTCGGAGCCATAGCCGTGGGTCACGTAGACGGAGTTTTGATGAGTTGCATGAGAAAAATGTTGTCTTGTGGAATGCAATGCTCGGAGGTTTTGTGCAAAATGGGTATGGATACGCCGATGAGTCCTCGTGTTGTTTTCTCAGATGAAGGGATCTGATTCTCACCCTCATGAGTTCACCTATACAAGTATCTTGAGTGCATGTGCTAGCTTAGGATGTCTGGAAATAGGATGCCAATTTCAAGGGTTTATTATAAAGAACAAATTTGCATCAAATTTATTTGTGGCAAATGCATTGGTTGATATGTATGCAAAATCTGGTGCTTTAGAGGATGCAAGGAAGCAATTTGAGATCATAAAAGATAGAGATAACGTTTCTTGGAATACAATTATTGTTGGATACATGCAAGATTAGAATGAGCTTGAGGCTTTTAGAATGTTTCGAAGACTGATTTTATATGGGATTGTTCCCGATGAAGTTTCCTTGACTGGTATACTCAGTGCTTGTGCAAATGTTCAGAGTCTTGAGCAAGGGAAGCAAGTCCATTTTCTTGCAGTCAAATCTGGTTTAGATAAGAGCCTCTATGCAGGAAGTTTCCTTATTGACATGTATGCCAAATCTGGGGCCATTGGGGATGCAGACAAAGTCCTCTATGATATGCCTCAATGGAGCGTGGTCTCCATGAACTCTATGATTGCTGGATATGAACCAAATGATTTAGATCGAGCAGTTATCCTACTAAAAGATATGCAGGTGGATGGATTGAAACCATCTGAAGTAACATACACTAGCCTTTTAGATGCCTATAATGAACCTCATAAGTTGAACGTCGAAAGGAAAATCCACTGTCTTATAGTAAAGATAGGCCTTTTGCATGGTGAAGAATTCTTGGGGGTTTCTCTCCTGTGCATGTACCTGAACTCCCTTAGAGATACAGATGCAGGAAATCTGTTTGAAGAGTTCAAAAACCGGGAAAGTGCCGTTGTATGGACTGCTTTAATTTTAGGTCATACGCAAAATGACTGCAATGAGGAGGCCTTGCACTTCTTCCGAGAGATGCGTAGCTGCAATGTATTGCCCGACCAAGCTACATTTGTTAGTGTCCTTAGAGCATGTGCTGTTTTATCTTCTTTGCAAGTAGGCAGACAGATCCATGCACTAGTTTATAATACCGGTTATATTTCAGACGAGTTAACAACTAGCGCCCTTGTAGATATGAATGCTAAATGCGATGAAGTTAAATGTTCTGTGCAAGTTTTCAATGAAATGAATAGCAAGAACGGTATTAGTTTCGGGTTTGCCAAAAACGGTTATGCTGAAGATGCATTGAGAATATTTTTTGAGATGAAGCAAACACATGGAATGCCTGATGAAGCAACAATTTTATTTGGGTTCAAACAATGTTAATTGGAATTTTAAAATTTTAAAACTTTTATAGAAAACATAACAGAAAAATATAATATAGTTCAGTGGTTAAGTATTAAGTTTAATTTCAAGGGGTTTGGGGTTTAAATCTCTCTAGTTGCATAATATTTTCAATAATTTTTTCAAGCGATTTCGTTTTGTCTTTATTGAGCATCAAAATAATTGCGTTGAAACGACGTCGTTTTTGTAAGGCATCTATGTCATCACCGTCACGGCCCGTCCATGCCATGTCATCGTGTCGTTAACAGATTAACGGCGGAGTGGCAAAATTAAAGTGAAACATAAACGTTAGTGCTAAAATTGGCAAAATTGAAACGTCAGTGGCATTTTCGATCCCGAGCATAAAGATGGGTGATATTCGACATAGATTACCCTAAAAATTATTAAATTTTTTTATTTATAAATATTTAAAATAATATTAGTTTATTAATATAATAATTAATTAATATTATAAAAATATTAATTTTTTTTATAACTATCGATATTCTATCTATTAATCGATTAATTCAAATTGAATAATATAGAATCAATGGTGATCCTCATAACTGAGTTTACTTATTTATTATATTTTATGTGTCAGTTTAACTAATTTGGATTTATTCACGTTGTACACCTAACTCTGGTTATGATTTCATAAATTATTTTTATAAATTATTTTTGTAAAATTTATTTTATGTAAATAACTTTTTCAAAATTTGTTTCTAAAAAACCAAACGTACCATAAATTATAAATGTCTTTACTCTAAATTCAATATTAAAATTATCATAATTGCTTCTTCAAATAAAAACATAAACAAATAATAATGACGTCATGCAAAAAGTCATTCAAATAGAGTACGCATGAAGGTGTCCGTAGTTTCTTTTAGACTTTGACGTGTCTCAAGATTGGATTTGGAAAGAGGGATATGCTATCTAAGCCCACTCGCTGTTGGTGGAGCGCGTGTAAGGTGTTAAAAAATGGCTGCGAAGGAAATTTTGATTGGGCAACAACGCCAACCGCATGCGAAGCTGTCTCATTCCTCATTTATTTATTTCAACTAATATTAAGGGTAAACTACTCAAATGACACTTAATTATGGGGTTGGTATCGATATGACCGTAATACTTTCGATTTTGGGAATATGCCCACATAACTGCTTAAGTATTTATAATCAAGTCACATTTTGTTAACATTTAATCGAAGTATTAATGTGACAGTTAATAAAATTAATATAATTACATATTTGATCCTCAATACTTTCACATTTTATCAATTTGATCCTAAGCTTTGAGTGGATTGAGATGAAAAAATTGTGACTCATTCAAATTTTTGACTAGATGCTATCTGTAGGGTGCGTGCGCTTGTTTAAGCACAAGGCAACGCAAACTGTAATTCGTATCTTTTCATGGTCACAAGCTCATTATCGAAATGCAACCATTATTTACCATCCCATCTTTCATTTGTATCATGCCTATTATTTGGATAGTTAAACCCGTCTTTGCTTTCTATTTTGATATATACGTATAGATCTAATGCTATTCTCACATAAAACTAAAATTCATACTCGTGTGTTGCAGGAAGTGATCGATACATCCGGAGGGTGATCTTGATTCCAAACATTTTTCTATTTAAATCTCAGCAGTAATCCATCGTTTTGAAAATTTATGAAGAGGTTTTGGTTGAATCAGGTGTGGTGCAAGTTTTGCAATTGAGATTGTTTCGGAAGAATTTGAAGGTGGGATCAAACAGCAGACCCCGGAGCAGGCAGGAAAATCTAAAGCAGACGCGTAGAATAGAAAGGCACTAAAGGTGTAGTTGAAACATTTAAATAGGAGTTCATGCAGACCTTTGAGAATTCAGCTGGAATATTAAGCTATCGCTTTACCTTTAGACTTAATTTTGATGCCTTTTTTATTTGTTTTAGAATGTTACTATGTGTTTACTTACCCAAGAGGACAGATCCAAGGGTAATTTATTAAATTAAATTAAATTAAAATTAAAATCAAATTGATAGAATATATAAGTATTGAGGACCAAATATATAATTATAATGATTTTATTAACTGTCACATCAGCACTTCCGTAAGATTTTGACTGCAAGTGACTTGATTGAAACCACTTAATGAGTTATATGGTCATATAGCCAAAATTGAAAGTATAGTGATCATATCGACATCAACCCCATAATTAAGTTGTCATCTAAGTAAAATATACAAATAGTATCCCAATTATAAAGTGTTACTTTGTTGAGTTTGTTGACTATTGAAAGTTACAAAATGATCTCCTAACTATAAGTTGCTAATTTGTTGAGTCATCTAACTATTAAAAGTTACAAAATAGTCACATGATTATTCATATGCTCTAAAGTCGTCAATTTCCATTAAAAATTAAAGATTGTTTGAGTTAAGCGTTAACTAGTTTATTAGGATATGATA